ACTGATCAGAAGCAAACTCTGTTGGCAGCTCTCTAAATCCCAAGGCTCCCACAGCTCACTGCAAGAACAGTGCTGAGCAGGCACTGGTGACAACTGAGAGCTAGGCTAGCTCTATCCAGAGCTTGTTCAAGCCAAAATCTTCACATATGAGTCTCAGGATAAGCATTTCTCTGCCTGTCTTGGTAGCGAAGCTTACACCTGACAGCACAGGCCAAAAAGATGTGTGCATCCTTGACTCATGGCCCTTAACTGTGGGTCACAGAGGGGTAGTGTAGGGAAAGTTCAGGCTTGATACTTTTAGTAACCAAACAAATGCAAGTTTTGGGTCAAACAATTTAAAATTGTGCCAGGTTTTCAAAAAGCAAAAACTGTTCTGGCTACAGAAAAATGTAAAAGAAAATTAAGAACATCACCTCAGTATTTTTAAATGGCAGTTTTATTCCGAATGGTGCTTCACAGAATAGTGTAAGCAAAGGGTTAATAATCAGCAGTAGCAAAGCAATTGTTTTGGGTCTAGCTAACCATTTCATGAATTTCTTTCCTGAAAATTGGGAAATCAGTTATTCCCACAGCTTTAATTAAGACAGTTACCTGCGATCAAGTGAGCCTTGAATCAGGGCTGCTGCAAATCGGATAACTGCTTTCAGTACTAAAGTGCTGGCCAGGCCAAGAGAGGGGCATCTCAAGATCTCCTGTTGGAGGTTTGTTTTCAGGCCTTACGTTTCTGGTCTGAGTTCACCTTTTGTAAATTGAGGACCACAGCATGTGGACCTACTGCAAGACCTTTGGAGCAGACCTTTTTGATTCTGTATTTCTATCATGGGTCTCACTCTACAAGTACAGAGTATGCGTACTGCTCTGGCATAGATAATACATTAAAGACTTTGAAGCTTCCAGGTGATAAAGGAGGATAGATAAAAACCTCAAAGGGAATTTTATTGAGTAATATATAAATATCAAAAATCTATGTTCAACATGAAATGTTCCAATTCCACTGTCCAAATGCTTCACAGGACATTCTTCAGGAAATTGAAGAACAATAATAAAACAAACTGGCACTGACTAGTCATATTAAGGAAATACTGAAGACAACAGAAAGGTTTATAGTTACCTTTTATATCTCCTGTTCAAGTATTTTACAAAAGGCCTTCCAGATTCTAATCCAATTAGAAACACACTCCTCTACAATGTTTTTATATAGCATAAGTAAGCAGAAATCACTCTAAAACATGTGCAACCAACCCTTATTCTCTGTGCTCCTGTATCTTTTCCTCCTGCTTTCCCTTGAGAGAGGAAAACTGCAACAGCTCAGCTGAATATTAAAATCCACAAAATGGATGGAAAAGAGGGTGCTGTAAAAGATGGAGAGGTGAATATCCAGAACTGTTTTTTAAAAACTGTACAGAAATCTTCTGAGAATGTGTGTTCCAAAGAGTGTGCAGGAAGCATATCAAGAAGCGAGAAAACTTTCAGATATCTAGTTTGTATCGCCAGAATGGATGCTAAATTTTCATTGCCAAGAGATTGATATTTTGCTTTGTTTGTTCCTATTACTCTTTTTTTTTAACAGATGAACAAAAATTCTTCCAACATAATGGCTTTGGCTCCTACCACCTCCAACAGAAGAGAGACAGTGTGCATATTTGGAACTGGAGATTTTGGAAGAGCTCTGGGGCATAAAATGATTCAGTCTGGCTATCCCGTTGTGTTTGGAAGCCGGAGCACACAGACATCCAGCCTGATTCCCAAGGGTGCAGAGGTGTTGAGCCACACAGAGGCAGCACAGAAAGCTGCTGTCATCATTATAGCAATCCAGAGGCAACATTACAACTTCCTTACACCACTAACAGAAATTCTCCATGGAAAAGTTCTGGTGGACGTAAGCAACAACTTAAAAATAAACGAGTATCCTGAATCCAACGCAGAGTACCTTGCTCAGCTGGTGCCTGGAGCTAAGGTTGTGAAAGCCTTTAACACTGTGTCAGCCTGGGCCTTGCAGTCAGGCACACTGGATGCAAGCCGGCAGGTAAGTCTGAGCAACAGAGGTTTCCTATGCCTTAGAGTTACGTATTACATAGCTTCTTAACACCTAGACAAAACACACATGGGACATACGAATCAGACAGGATTGAGATGGTATTTTCACTATAATCAAGCATTTAAAATTAAATGTAAGCTGAAATTTACTTTTGGCTTGTAATACAGCATGACAAGGAATATCAATAGCTTGCTTCCGAACTCAGGAAGCTGTTTGGAAACACTAGAGAACCAAGGAAAGAAAGATAGCAGAGCTGCAAAGAGAGAGACAGCAAATCAGGAGCAAATGAGGATTACATCAGTTGTTCTCTGGGATAGTAAAGTTTAATAGAGAGGAGATAGGAGAAATATATGAAAGCAAAATAAAATAAAGAAAGGAAAAAAAGGGAGGCAAGGGATATGATGGAGCAATAGAATGTATATGGCCAACAGAAGTGAGCTGGAAGGTGAATAAATTCAGAAAGTTTTTTAAATCAGAATTCATTGCCACAGTTTACCACAACAACGGTGTGTGCTTTTATCCACCTCCCTAACCACATGCCAGCAGGCACAGAGCTGGCCATAGGAAGCAATACAGAAGCTTACTTGAAGGCAAATCATTTACTATTACCCTGTTTTCTGGCACTCTGAGGGACAGTGCTCTTGTAGAACACACTGAATCAGACAGCTACTCAAACCATTGCTAGCTCCACTTTCTGCTGCCAGATAAATGGTTTTGGCTAAACTACAGACCCAAGGACTTCCAAGCCTCAGCTCTACAAGCCTTCATCATATCAGTGATAACAGAAATTGCCTCCTTTCTAAAGTTCCAAAAGAGTACTGTCTTGCACAGTCACAGAAAAGACAATTTGTTCACTATTTTACTAGACTTGATAAGAAATAATATTTACTTTTGCGACAGGACAATCATGTTTTAAAGTTCTCTGTCCCAGATTCCTCAGAGTACTTTTGGACCACTGTAGCAGCAACTGAAAATTTTGTTCCTATTCATTCCTATTGAAAACTTTACTCCTATTTACTCCTGTAAAACCTTGTGCTTACACACTGCTTGCAGGTCTTCAGAAGAATATATCAAGTCTGCTAGGTAAAGACTTGTACTAAGTGTGTTACACATTGTACTTTTCAGATACAAAATTTTGCCACGTGAAACATTCTTTTCCCCAGTGAAAAGTTTCGTGTTCTTAGTTCTCGGACTTGTTGGCCAAGAAAGTACCTATACGCTACTTTTTGCCTATATAAATTAAGGACAGCAGGGAAGTCAACAAGTAGCTTAGAAAGCTTGTGCTCATCATCCATATCCAGGCAAGATGGCAATAGGGAATGTTGCTAAAGTCTGTCTAAATAAAGCTTCTGATTGTTTTTGGCTGCAGGTGTTTGTCTGTGGAGATGACATGGAAGCTAAACAAACGGTGATGAATATTGTTCGCGCACTGGGCCTCACTCCACTAGATCAGGGATCCCTCTTGGCTGCTCAGGAAATAGAAAATTACCCTCTACAGCTCTTTCCAATGTGGAAGTTTCCCATCCTTTTGTCCTTTGGCCTAGCTGCATTCTTTTTCTTCTACTGTTTGATTCGCAATGTAATTTATCCTTATGTTTATGAAAACAAAGACTTTTCATTTTTTATTGCAATTTCGATTCCAAATCGGATCTGCCCTATATTAGCACTCGTCCTTCTTGCCTTGGTTTATCTTCCTGGTGTACTAGCTGCAATTATTCAGTTATACAGAGGTACCAAATACCGCCGTTTTCCAGACTGGCTGGACAAATGGATGCTCTGCAGGAAACAGCTTGGACTAGTAGCCTTGGCATTTGCTTCCCTGCATGTTTTGTACACTCTTGTTATCCCAATCCGCTCCTTTGTAAGATGGAGAACGAGCAGTCAAATCATCTCCCAGGTAAGGTTTGTTCCCTCCCCTATGTCTTCTTTTTTCCCGCCCGGTTACAAATACTATCTTCTATCTTGAGCCTCAGAAATTCATGTGGACAATCCAATGTTCTTTACAATAGGGATATTTTCATAGTTTCTCTGTTCCTTTTAACCACTGACATATCCAAAGTTTGTTGATATTATGTGGAGTTGAGGAGATTTCTGGCCTCAGTCTTCCTCCTAGACAGTTTATGTATGAATAAAATAAGTGGGGGAAATGTAAACATTAAGAGTAATCTAAAGAAACACATTTCCCCATTTCTGCATAAACCTTTAATAATGGCACATATTTTGTCTTTGAAAAGAGCACATATTTTGACTTTCTGACTTTATTTAACAACAAAGGATCACATAGCTGTCCTCAACAGTAGGCCTACAGAAGTGAAAAACACACACCATAATTACAGGTACATGGAAACTATACGTAATATAATGCCTCTTTTTCTTTTTGGGAAGGGTTTCAAAGTAAAATCTGATGATTTTCAGGGAGTTAATATATAAGACTTATTTCCTAGTTAACTCAAAGGATATTTATTCTGCATAGTGATATTAAAACTGCTATCACTAAGATATACCTGCTCTTCTTCAGGTACTGAACAATAAAACCGAACCACTCAACACCACTAATGCCTGGCTTAGTGACTCCTACTTGGCTTTGGGGATTTTAGGATTTTTTTTATTTGTTCTTCTGGGAATAACTTCCTTGCCTTCAGTCAGCAACAATGTCAACTGGCGAGAATTTCGATTTGTACAGGTAAGAAAAAGACTTATTCAACTATGACCACAGGCAGGTTTACTAGAGACCTAGGGCTTTCCTCCATTAGCATCTCCAAATGTGATGTGTGCACTATCCACCATCACACAGTGAAAAAAAAATCTACACAGCTATACAGCTCACCTGTAAAAAAAAGCTGCTCTGCTGGCTGCTTGTGGTGCAACTGGGATTACTGCATTAACAACAGAAAATTGGGAAGATGAGAGCTCCTAAATGACAAACAGAAAGCTGACATTGTGGAATTATCGAATTCCACAATTATACTAAGTCACAAAATATTTTAGCCGTTTATTGGGCTGATTGTTTTGGTTCATAAGATAATTCAGTTAAAATGGGTCTGAAAAATTACTTTGTAACTCAGATTCTCTCCATGCCAAGCAGTTTCTGCAGAGTCTAAAAACTGATGTGCCTATAAACAGGCTGCCCTTGGTAACACTATAATCTCAGCCCCCCATTCAGAGGAAGTTCGGTGCAAACTGCCATGCCTCTGCAGGAGCTGTGCTGGCAGGAGAGGGGAGGCAAGAGAAAGGGAAATTACTATCAATGAATGTTTTATCAAGGCCAGAAACTTGCACAGTATGGTGTTTCTGGATAGATTAGCACTAGAGCATATAAAAGCTTGGATCTCTCCACTGAATTGCAGTGTTTTCTCTGTATTTTCACAAATATGACAACCACCAGGCAGGATATGTGAGCTAGCAAAAATTATCAGGACCGTTGATGCGGAAAAAAACCCCAAAGAAATGTGTTTCACATAAATCCATTTGAATGAATATTTTAAAAAAAAAGTAAGAGTCTTTATATTATATAAAACACTTTCATTTCAGCAGTCCCCAATTAGTCCCAAAGCTCACATGTTTCACAAATCTTACTGTGTACTGTAAACTGCATTTGTTCTGGCTTAATTTACTATTTTAACCTCCACTTCTTTCTTTCTTTTCTTTGTTCTCCCCTAGTCCAAACTGGGATATCTGACACTGATTTTATGCACTGCACACACACTGGTTTATGGTGGAAAACGGTTCCTGAGCTCATCATCGTACAGATGGTATCTTCCGAATGCCTATATGCTCTCCCTCGTTGTTCCATGCATGGTGCTGGTTGTCAAATTTGTGCTGATATTTCCTTGTCTAGACAAACCTCTCACACGAATTCGACAGGGCTGGGAGAGGAATCCTCAATACTCAGAACAGTCAAATTACATTATCAACAAGTCTGCTGTATAATTAGACTAACCTGAATTATCAAAAAGAAGAAATAATATTATGAAGGCATATCAAAATGAAATCATGAGCCTCCTTTATATGGAGAGTGAGAGAAAAAGTCAAAAACTTGGCCAGACCCTGTTTAAAATAAAAGCCACCCCACTGACAAGCTTAAAATACAAATCAAATGAGGCTATTGAGTTCCTGCACCCCAGACATGCTTTCACATAGGTGCAGGCCCTCTCTTTTGCTCAGTATATTCTCCCTTGCCTATTCACCCTCCATTCCTAAGAAGTGTATGAGAGAAGTAAGCGGTGCTTCTCTGTTGTTCCAGACCTCCTCCAGGGCTGGGCAGAACTGGAATAACCTTTGGTGTTTGATGGGTGTCTTCCCTATCCTGCCCATTGCAACTCAGGTCTACATGCACCTACAGATATCCACACAGATCCACATGCACACATGCATGAACACACACCCTGCTTCCACCCCCAGAAGCCACCAGCACCCACAGAACAGCAGAATGGATGCTGATTGAGGAAGAGCTCTCTTCCTCCTAGCATTACTTTATCCTCTACTAATATCTGATCCAAACCAGACCTCTGTTCATACCTTAACGACAGCCAAGTAAGATCTGTGTGGTTTATGTACACGAACTCTAATGTTCAAAGTGTATGGGGCAAAGGCTACCAAATCATTGCTTGTACTGCTCTACCAGAAACTCAGGTGGCAAGGGGATGGAGAAGAGACCAAAATGGCAGAAAGATGTTTGTTAGATGTGCTCAGGAGCCTGAGCTTCTCAAGTATAGGCAAAAAGTGACCAGTGATTTTTTTTGTCTAAGCAGCAAGTTGTAAGGAAAGAAACTGAAGAAAAATCCTGTTATATCAGGGGGTTGTAATATGTGTCATGGTTATATCTCATGAAGATAATATTGTTGATTTTTCAAAAAATAAATCTTTGGATGCAATATTATAGATGTTCTATGAAAATATACATATTTTAACCAAAATAAAGACTTTTTTTTTTACAGCGTTGAGCTCTGTTATCATTTCTGGAACCCCTTTTGATACGATACAGCTGCTGCTATGCCCAGTTGCACAAAGGTGTTGGAAGGTCTTGGGCCAAGTATTAAAATGGGATCCTGTTTTCAGACTGCTGCCTGGGCTCACTTTCACCCACCCTTCTTTGCTCCTTGGATGTTCACATAAGCAGATCTTTGCTTAGTCATCAAAGTGGGCTGAGGATGTGGAAAAACAGGATCCAGCTGGGATGGTGACCTCCTGTTAATTTGCAAACAGAGGATCTGACAGCTGCAGGAGCAGCAGTGAGAGAAGGAGAACGAGCCAGAAAGAAGTTTGTGTGTGTATATTGGTAGAGGAGAAAGGGACCAACAGAGCAGAAAATAAGTAGCAGCAGTCTGAGTGTGTATCTTCCAGATTTGCTATTTTGGGGCCAAATTCTGCTCTCAGTGACACAGTCCAGATTTATTTTACTACAAATAGTAACGGTTCCAAGACATTGCAAGATTGTTTGGGATTTTTGCTGGTTCTTAAAGGATTTATTTTGGGGATTTCTGCCTGTCCCAGTACAGATCTAAAACCTGCCTTTTTCTCTCTCACAGCTAAAACCTCTATATTGGAGTCTAAACAGCAACAGCCATGGCAAATAACACCCACTTAAAAGCCATGCTTTATGAAATACAAAGAGTGCAAATGCTCTGCCTCCTTTCCTCTAGGCAAACAGGCTCGCTCCCGTGTGGTTTTGAGTACCTTGTGCTAAAGAGAAGGACAGACCAAACCTAGTCTTTTTTACTCTCACTGAGAATCACTACAAAGTAACTCAGCCTGGCTTAATACTGTCTGTATATTCACTCACAACTAAACCATAGTCTCAAAGTAGCTCCTGCAAGAAAGGCAAAAGAACTTCTTCAGGGACTGATACCATGTTTGTTATATGAAAACACAGGCCAAGATTTACAGAAAATGCGAAGCGGGCAGGTACGACCTGCAATTTGCTATTTACTCCAAGAATAAAGTGCCAATATCTGCTGTGTACAAATCAAGGAGACAATGCTGTTTGTTTGCATGGGGTGCGTGCAGCAGCTCTCAGGAGCTGATCCAAAGCTCTCACATCTGAAGTCAGCAGCAGGCTCTTTGTTGACTTCAATAGATAACAGGTCAGATCTCCAGCAGCACTTGTTTTTCCGGTCTATGTGAGGGATTTCATATCCTGTTATTCTTGGGCAACTGGGGAGTATTTGCTTCACAAATTTACCTACTTGTTTTTTGAATACAGGACAGAAAACAAATTCCTCCAGTAATCTTACATGATAGTTAAACTAGAAGAGTTCAATGGTAATATTTTGCAAACAATAGCCCGTGCTATGAAAACTGTTGGTAGCTTCTATACCTTGCTCATGGCTGAGTTTTTTGTGTTTTAATTTTACTTTTTCTTATGTACTGACAAAGGTTGGTCAGAGAGGACATCAGAAGGATCATGAAATGAATTTTGGAAAGAG